ATCCGCCCCTCTCTCCCAGAACCGTCTGCTCTCCACGGAGTCCTGGGCCGTGCTGGGGTCTGTCTGTGCTGGGAGGAGCAGTCCCCACCTCGGCGGTGCTAAGGATCAATTTTGGGAGCACCACAGTCCACGCACGCCGGAGCCCCTGTGTAAAACCACCTGGCGTTTGCAGACCCAGCCACATCCCCTGCACGCCCTTCATCATCGCTAGACTACTTAGAACAGGAGGGGGAAGGGGAAGTAGAAAGAATCAGATGCGTTCTGACTGCAGCGACTCCCTGCAGGGAACGTCATCATTGTGTACTGCGGACCAGGGCTCATGCAAACGGAGTTTGTAAAATTAAATGAAAGTGATCCAGAGATTTTTTTTAAAAAAAGAGAGAGCATAGACAATCTTTACACAATAAGCGTCCCACTCAGGACCAGATGATGGGACGTTAGCCGTAAGACCGTAGGTCGTGCTTCTCACTCAGATCAAATCTATATTCTTAAAAGACAGGTTGCTTTTCCAGTTACTAAGAGGTGGGAGGTGTGTTCATTTCCCTCTGTGAAAGTGGAGTCCCTTTCTCCCTGTAGGTTCTATTTTTATTTCCATTAGGACATTTTGCAGTTCATAGTGATCACGTCCCTCTAGGAGTCGGTGTGTGTACGTAATCAATCCTCTTGGGAGGAGGCACTGGGGATTGAACTCAGGACCTTGCGCTTGTGAGATGGGTATGGTGCCACTGAGCTAAATCGCTGGGCCGTCTTAGACCTTTTTATGTCCCCTCCTTCCCTCTTCCCTCTTCCATCTCTTGGTTCCCTTCCCTTTCAAAAAAAATCTGTCTCCTTGTTTGCCATTATCTATTAGATTTGATTTTTACTTTGTGTGTTTGAGGCTATATTACTGAACTAATAAAAACTTAGAACTCTTAAAAAATGTACCATCAACTACTTAGCTAATTTCCTCTTGTGGACATTTTATTGTTGTTGTTTGTTTGTTTAGGCATTGGTATTTGTGAATTTTTTTTCTTTTCTTTTTTGAGACAGGGTCTCACCATACAGTCCAGACCTTGAACTCACTATGTAGCCCAAGCTGGCCTTGAACTGACCATGATCCTCCTGCCTCAGCCTCCTGCGTGCTGGGATGACAGGCACGCATTTCATGCCTGGCTTGTTTTTGTTTCTGTTTTGCACAGAGAGGCCACACAGCCGTTCTGCACGTCCACCCATGACCATTTCTTTAAAGTGCAGCTCTCGTAGTGGAGTGGAGGGGCAGAGGGCAACCGGAAAGCTTTTCTTGGGGATCTGAGCTGAGACTTAGGGGCTGGGGAGGAAAGACAGCATTCGGGAGGCAGGACACCGTGGGCGGGTGCCAGGGTGGGAAGAGGTGAGCATCCTCCAAGGCCTTGGGGGGTAACCGGAAACTCCCCACTGCTGGCCTCAAATCTCAGGGTGGCAGAGCTGGACAGAGCCCGGTGTTCTGGGTCCTCTTGCCCCCTGCTGCCTCCACCTCAGCCCACCTGGGCACCCTGCACTCCCGGGTCCTGAATCCCATCTGCTCCCCAAGCCACACTGCACCCACCTCGGACCCTGCCCCAGCCCCTCCCTCCTCCCTGGTCCCCGCTGGCCGCCGTCAGCCCGTCCTTCAGCGTCAGAGTGCCGCTGGCCAGCCCCGACTGCCAGTCACTTGGCCCCTTCCTGGGGTGGACCTCAGCCCGTCACACCGAGGGGGAGCCCTATGAGAAGTGACAGTGAAGGCCTTGGGGTGCGGACGGCGTCTTCATGAAGGCTGGGCTCCATGGCCCCCCTCACGGTGCCCGGTGCTGCCTCCTCTTCTCGTCTGCCCACACCGTCTTCCGGACACGGGTCCCAGCAGGCCAGGCCAGCGGAAGCACACACACATTCTCATCCTCACTGGTGACTTTCAGGGAGGGTGGCTGGGCCCCTCCCGGCCTGTCCCTCAGGGCCCTGGTCTCAGGTGGGCAGGATGTGGTGCTCTGCTGGGACCCGGCCTGCTTCTGCGTCCAGAGGGACTGCAGAGCCCAGGGCCACCACCAGCGGAGCACTGCATCTGGGAATTAATTCAGACATCACGTTCCGCTCCCTGGCATGGCCAGCTATTGGAATGTAGATATTTAACTGGTATTTCATCGAGCAGATAGATAGTCTGGATCGAGGCTCCAGTGCTGCCCTGAGAGCCCCACGCCCACCCAGTCCTCCTCAGAGGGTCAGCGCTGGCCTCAGGATCCTGGCACTGCCACTGCATCACATGTACAGCTCCAGAGACCCTGTTCGGCCCCTGCTCAGTAGCTACAGAACCCCCAGAGCCCTACGACCAGTGGGCCTGGGAGAAGCACAGGCCAGGGAGCCAGAACCTGGATTCTGCCACAGTGACCTTGAGCTGCTGCCTCCCCTTCTGGGCCTGTGACCCTTTGTGTGACAATGGGAAGTGACAGTCTTCACAGGGCTGCACAGCCCTTCCACGCCACCCTCTCACTCGGGCTGTGGGGTTTCGGCCCAGGAGCACCATGGGAAAGGGACGGGGTGACTTTGTGCTCCTCACACCCACCCCTGGGTGCTGGGCACAGCCCCTGCTCTACAGAAAACTCTGTTCCCATGCTGGGGAAGTTGGAACTGCTGTGCGAGCTGGTGCCAGTCTGTGAGCCTTCCCCGGGGCACCGTCCCCGCCAGAGGTGCCATCTCCCCTGGGAGCTGGGAGCTCTGCATGTGAAGATGCCCTGTCACAGCCGCATCCAGGCAGTGCCCAGCCCGGCGACTGCCTTGAAAGAACTTTCCAGCCCGCACACCGGCTTCCTAGGCCCCACTCCTGTGCCCTCTCTCTGCAGCCAGGCCCGCCCTCCCTTTCTGTGCTGTGGAGTGACTGAAATCCAAACATTGGCTTGGTTTTGTTTCATTCGGTTTTACAAGACCGGGTCTTAACTACATAATTCAGGCTGCCCTTGAACTAGTGGTGCTTCTCCTGCCTCAGCCTCACAAGTGGTGGGATGACAGGCGTGTGCCACTACGCCCAGCTGGCTTGGTTTTGTTTAGCAAACAAGGAGCATGCAAAGCAGCTCTGATCCCTGTGTGTGTGTGTGTGTGTGTGTGTGTGTGTGTGTGTGTGTACAAGAGGCATGGAGCTAAAGTGCCTCCCAGCCCCCAGCACCTATCCTGGCACTCTCTCCTGGCCCTGGAAGTGGCTTCTGCTAAGTCCCTTGCCCTCTCTGGGTGGCACTGTCCCCTTGGGCAGGAGGAGCAGGACAGGTGCTACCCAAGCCCCCACTGGCTCAGGTGTCCCAGCCCCTGTGGACACGGGGCCGCCTGCCTATGTGAATCCCCAGCCCCGCACACCCGACAGGCAGTGTCAGGGGCTCAGCTGGACAGGAAGGGCCTCTTCTGGGGGTGCAGGGCAGGGGCCTGTTTGGCCAAATCAGAATGGGGGCGCTGGCTCTGCCTCCCTGGGGAACACTGCCTGGGCCCGAGAGCCCCAGAGCCCCATGCCAGAGAACACAGCTAGAGGGAGCATCACAGGGTCATGGTGGGCAGGAGGGTAAACTGAGGCTCAAAAAAACACAGCCTCAATTTAGAGCCTGCTCCCAACTCTCATGGCCACACAGAGTCTCTATGGGGTCACATGCTCCAAACAAGCTGGATCTGAGTCCAGGGTGACAGCAGTCTATGAGGCACCGTCTGCTGACGCTGGAGCGCTGTCCGGGAGGGATGCACCTGCTGCTCATAGTCTGGGCTCTCTGTGCCTCAGGTGCCCCGTCTGTAAGGCAGGACCAAGGCACCTCCCTTGCAGAAGGCTGTGCGTGTGCATTAGAGGCAAGGAGTGGAAACCCTGGGCCAGCTCAGGCCCTGCATGGACTGCTTGCATGGCCACTTTCAGGAGCCAGGTGCAGGAGGGGAAGCCAGCCCTGGAGAGCAGCAGGAACAGCTGAGGGGGCTTCCTGGAGGAGGTGGCATTCGAGTGGCCCTTGTTTGATGGGCAGGACTGCAAGCTGGGACACCCGTGACCATAGCCCTTGTCACAGGCTGGGCTCTGCTTTGCCTGGTGGCCTTGGAATAACCTAGCAGTTGCCAGGAAGGGGCTGTGAGTTCACTAAGGTGCAGAACAGAGGGTCAGGGCCCAGCCAAAGTCACATAGCTAAAAGGTGGTGGCCCCAAGCTTAACTTACAGCCACCAGGTCCGCTCTGCCGTAGAAGGTAACGCTTGAAATGCGGGGATCGGGACTTGGCGGACAACTTTGGGGGCCACCGTGCAGCTCACCACAGTGGTCCACTGGGGCCCTGGAGGTGGGATGGCTCCCCTGGCTTGTCCAGGTGGGCCTGATGTCCCCGTGAGGGGCCTTGTAAGCTGGGTGTTGTGGCACACGCCTACTGTAGTCCCGGCACTGAGGCTGAGGCAGGAGGATCACAGCGAGTTCAAGGCCAGCTTGGGCTACATAGTGAGCTCCTGTCTCCAAAACAAAACCAAAGGAGGCCTTGTGAGAAGAGACAGAAGGTCAAAGGCAGAGGGAGATGGGGTTGGCAGGATGCTCTGGGCCCATGAGGAAGGAGCCACAGAAGTAGGCACCGCCTGGGCTGCTGACACTCGATCGGTCCCTTCGTGCCCACTCGGGCTTTTGGCCTGGATAGTAAGTCTGTGCTGCATTAAAACCACCCAGCTCGGGGCAACACGGTCCCGCAGCCCACAGCAGCACCAGCCCAGTTTCGCGGGGTCTGGCTCCTCGCAGCCCCAGCATCTACCTGTGTGCTGCCATCGCCTCCTGGTCCCCGGCTCCTCCACCGGTAGGCGGAGCTCCCCCGCGCCTCTCCTGAGCCCCCGCAGCGCCTCGCGTGGAGCCAGAAGGCACTGGGGAGTCCTGGCCACGGGTAAACAAATCTTACTTTATTTTTATTTACAGCCATTGAGAGGGGCAGGCTTCTGACAGTAGTCACCGGCCCTGTCCTCCTGGGAGTGTCAGCACTCTGGGTCCTGGCCCAGGAGGCCTGGGCCACCAGTGGACAAGGTCAGCTCAGGAAGAGCCGTGATGTCCGAGGGAGACGCACGCCCATCGTGACCCCGAGCCGGCCAGGGACGCGGAGCCCAGGCAGCGGGCTGCGGACGGCGGCCTCACTTGAGGCTGTGCTGGCTCTCCCGGTGCCGCCGCAGGTCCACTTTGCGCTGGAAGCCCTTGGTGCAGAGGTCGCAGGTGAAATAGCGCGCCAGGCTGCGGCCGCTGAGCACGGCACCCGCCCGCCCGCGCCTCACCCGTGTGGATGTAAGTGTGCTTCTTCATGTCCGACTTCTGGTGGAAGCGCTTGCCGCAGTACTGGCAGGGGTAGGGCCGCGTGTCCGAGTGGATGAGGAGGTGCGTGGACAGCGTGGACGAGCGCTTGAAGGCTTTGCCGCACATCCGGCACCGCCAGGCTGCGGCCGCTGAGCACGGCACCCGCCCGCCCGCGCCTCACCCGTGTGGATGTAAGTGTGCTTCTTCATGTCCGACTTCTGGTGGAAGCGCTTGCCGCAGTACTGGCAGGGGTAGGGCCGCGTGTCCGAGTGGATGAGGAGGTGCGTGGACAGCGTGGACGAGCGCTTGAAGGCTTTGCCGCACATCCGGCACTCGAAGCTGCGCTCCTGCCGGAGGAAACGAGGCCCCGGGGGGTCAGGAGCAGGTGGGGCCTCGCGGCCCACGCTGGGCACCGGGCTGGACCCGGCCGGGATCCCCTGAGGAAGAGGACACTGCGTTGGGGCGGCCTCGAGGGCAGGGCCTGGAGGAGCAGGACCCAGGGGCCAACCCGTTCCTGTCCCCAGGAGGGACTGACGCTCAGGGCACAGTGGCCTCCTGGGGAAGTTTCCATTGTCCTGCTCCACACTGACTGATGGTCTGGCATCTGAGGCTTCTCAGGAGCCCCTGTTTTGTCATTAACCCAGGGTGAGTCCCTCGGGACAGGACAGTTTGCTCTTCCCACCCCGTCTATCCTGTTGGCCCAGGCGTTGGGGCCCTGCGTCCCTTCAGGTGCCCTTCTTGGAATGGGTACGATGTTAGGACCCCCACCACGTAGGCCTGAGAGGGGTGAAGTCATATTAGCAGCCCAACTTGTGGGAATCGAGGTTCCCAAGACTGAGGGCCCTGCCCGGGCCACCCAGGGGACAGGAGGTTTCAGCGTGGTGGACTCCCACACGTGAAGCCGGCTCTGCCCGTCAGAGGCCCCGGAGGGCTCTGGGTGGCCACTGGGGACTCAGACCGGGAGGTGGGGAGTGAGGGTCCCCAGGCTGGGTCACTTCCCAGGCGGCGCTCACCTGGGAGTGGACGTGCGTGTGCTGCTCCAGGCTCACGGCGTGGCCGAAGGTTTTGCCACACACGTCGCAGGCGAAGGGCCGCGTGCCACTGTGGGAGCGGCGGACGTGCACCTCCAGTCCGTGCGGCGTGGAGAAGACCTGCAGGGGCAGGTGTGAGCCGGGGGCGGGGGCTGTGATCCCGCGTCCCCTCTGTGCCCAGTGTGCGGGCTGTAGGGAAGGGGCCCTGCATGGCACCGCCGTAGCTCGCTTGCCGTGTGTCCTGGGGAGCCCCTCCCCGTGGCTTCCTGTCTAAAGTGGGGGTCGGAAGGGAGACCTGGGCCCCCCCACACCCCATCTGCAGGCTGAGTAGAGCCTGGAGCGGAACAGGGCCAGGTTCGAATGCTGGTTCTGCTCTCCTTGCTGTGTGGTCTCGTCTGAGCGACTCAACCTCTCTGGACCCTGGCTCTTCCTCTCCCCCTGGAGCTCGTGAACGTCCCCCCAGGGCTCAGCACAGGGCCAGGCACACGGTCTGGGCTCGGTGGACGAGGAGGAGGAGGAGGAGGAGGACCAAGGCTCCGAGTGGCCCTCCTGCCGCGGGCCAGGCTCACCTTGCTGCACTGCAGACAGTGGTAGGTGTCCATGCCCGGCGAGTAGCGCAGGCTGAAGTCCAGGGGTGACTCTGCACCGGGCAGCAGGGGGCTGCCGTACAGCCGCACGGCACGCTCCAGGAAGGCCGACTCAATGGCGGACGGTGGCTGCGGGTAGCTGGGTCCGAAGGATGGGGCCAGGGCGTCCCACAGAAAGCTGGGCTTGTAGAGAGGGGGCGACTCCGACAGCAGGGAGTGGCCGTCCTGTGGCCGGGACGCCACCGCGGGCCCCTTGTCTGCGGAGACAAGGGCACAGGCCCGCGACCCAGCTGAAAATGGTCCCCTCACCTCCCGCACTGCCACGGTGACCTCGAGGGGGGCCTCGGGGTGCCACCCGACACCCACCGCTGGGGCCGTGTCCTTCCGGTGGCTCCGTGGGTTTCCAGCCATCCTTGCCCCGGGCTGCTGCCCCCCACCCCCGGGCGTCAGCTGTGACCTTGTGGACCCTCCCGACCCTGAGGGACCCAGCCTCCAGCCTCCGTCCTCCTCTCTCGCTGGGCGGTGCCCGCGGCACAGGCGGGTCCTGAGCTGGGCACCTACCTGGCACCGCAGCTGTCCTGGGCAAGCTCTGGTCCAGGCCCAGCTCTGTCTCCCACTTCGCGTCGTTCCAGTCAGAGCATGGGGTCGGGAGCAGCGCGCAGGATGCAGGGCTGCTGCTCAGAACCTGGGCCCCAGCCCCTGCAGGGAGACGAGACACGAGGGGCACCTGCTACAGCCTCTGGGAGGCCTCGGGGAGCCAGGGGCCTGTAGGGAGGCCGGACTGCTGCTGTCTCCAGCCGCTCACACACGGGGCTCTGCCCAGCTGGGTGTGATGTGGGAGGACCCCAGGAGCACCTGGGACCTGGCAAAGTGCCTGCACCCAACAGGCTGAGGGAAGACAAGTGTGTCATTCATCCGTTCGACCAGCATTTATGGGCTCTGCTCCAGATCCGGAAGAGAAGCACAGTGGGAGGCTGAGGCAGGGAGGTGCATGCAGCAGGAGGCTGGCCCAGGGCCCCCACTCACCAGGGCTCAGGGCAGGGGACCAGACCGGGTCGTCCTCCTTGGTGCGGGGCTGGTGGTAGGTGTGAGCCTTCTTGCTCTTCACCAGGAAGGAGCGTGGCATCTTTTAATGTGTCTGCCTGCAGGGGAGACAGGTGGGAAGGGCTGAGAGGGACCAGAGGCTGGGCATGGTGGTGCACATCTGTCATCCCAGCTTTTAGGGAGGCTGAGGCAGGAAGATGGCAACTTAGAGACTTACCAAGACCCTGTCTCAAAATAAAAATTTTTAAAAAGGGCTGGGGGTGGAGCTGACTGTACAGCATCGCTGGGTTCCATTCTCAGCACAACGAAAACAAAGCGCACAAGAGGACTGTGCCCCTCTGAATCCTAGACCCTCCTCCTGCCAACCGGAGCCCACTGGCCTGGGTTAATGGCGTCCCCCAGAAGTCCCTGTCTGCCTGGGACCCGCGAAGGCCCCTCTGGGAAGCGGAGTCTCGGTGGAGAAGGAACCGTGTCAGGATGAGGTCACCCTGGCTCGGGGAGCTTTGAACCCAGCCCGACCAGTGGCCTTACAAGAGGACAGAAATCTGCCTTTCATAGTTCAAGGGCCACCAGGACCCGGGCGGCCCCCGGGTGGTGGCGAGCCCCTGCCGAGCCTTCGAGCCCAGGACGGTGAGGGGGTGGCACTGTGGTGTTCGAGGCGCCCAGCCTGCGGTGCACACCCATTACGGTAGCTTCATAGCCTCCCACTCATTGGGAAGGGCAGCCGGCCGGCCCTGGGTGGTTCAGAACCCCGCCCCCAAGACAAAGCAGCTTCCGGGTCCCCACCCCCCAAGCTGTGCAGGCAAAGCTCAGAAGATCCCCGCCCACCCCGTCAGTGCCACACAGGGCACGGGGCGATAGGGTCCCCGCCAAGGCGGGAAAGGGATTTAGGCTGCACGTGAGGGCCTGCGTGATAAGGCCCAGGTCAAAGCAGGGCTGGGAGGAGGGAGATTAGAGACTGCAGCCTGCCCTCTGCCTGGGCTCTGGGCCCAGGGCTCCCCTTCCCGTGGGGTGGGCCCACAGCTGGACAGAAGGGCCCTTGGGCTGCCACAAACCTTTCGCTGAGCCCTGGTGCCCAATCTGCTAACTGGGATCCTGCGAAATGGCAGAGATCGCAGGACCTCTGTGGTATGGGGGAGTGGGTTCGGGGCTCGGCGTGGCACCTGCTTGGGCACTGTGCAACCCTGAGTGAGCGCCATGCAGTGGGTCCTGCAGGGCCAGGAAGGAGCCGTATACTCTCACAACCCGGCCCACAGCAGGCACCTTGAAGGACAAGCCAGCCCTGGGCCGGGGCCACCACGGTCCCCAGGGAGCCAGGCGCGCCCTTCAAGACCCTCCTCACTCCGAGCTCTGGAAGGAACGGGGCACTCGGCCTCTGAAGTCCCTTCCTCTGCCAGACGCAGGCAGCCCGAGGCCTTATCTTCCAGGAACCACCCTTCCTCCCTGCCCCCTCCCCATGGCCTCCCCACAGCCCCTTCCCTCAGGAAAGCCCGGGGAAGGCCCGACCCCGGGGGGCGAGTGGGACCGGTTGCTCCCCTTTGCTCTGTGGGGACCCCGAAAGCCTGAGTCGGTGGAGGTGAGACTTTTCCATGTGTCCGATCTATTGGGAAATCAGCCGGAGCTCAGGCTCTCGGTGAATTCTCCGAGATGGATCCTGAGCAAAGGCAGCCAGCGTCTGCTTGGCCCATGGGGCACCTTTCACAGATTCCTGCTCCATCCCACACCCCAGGGCAGCGTGGAGCCGGGCAGGACTCTGCCCCACACCCTTGATGGTCAGGCAGCATGTGGGTGTTTGCCCAACACTGCCTGCTCCCAGTGCGGGCCGATGCCCAGCTGAGGGGACAGAGTGGTGGCAGTGTCCACAGCCCCCTGGGCTGCAGCGTGGGGCCAGGGGAGCGGGTGAGTATCAAGGCTGAGAGAGTGTTCCAGGTCATGGATTTGAGTCCTCGCCCAGGGCTCAGAAGGGGTGGGAAGGGCCTGTTACACAGGGGAAGTGGGGTCGAGGGCCAAAAATCAACTTTTTCTGCTCCCCAAGTCCTTTCCGGGTCCCCAAGGCCCCACCTGGGATCCTGAAGGGTTGCAGGGAGAGGCAGGCGAGGAACAGACTTTCCTCCAACAAGCTTTGCCCGTGGACTCAGACCACGGCTCGGACACAGGACAACTCTCCAGCTCTCGCTTTTCACTTGTGCAGGGAGCAAGGGGTCCAGTGTTCAGGGTCCCCCGCCGGAGGAGGGCGACTCAGCCTCTTCCAGTGACCTCCTTGAGCCCCCGTCCCTCGCCTTCCCTACCTGATGCTCTCTATCAGCCCAGCAAAGGGACAGTGACGCAGCCGGCCCCACGGCTGAGCCCCCCAAGCCCATAGTGAGTACCAAATGTGCTCAGTCAACTTCCTTCTGGCCCCTGTTAGCCGAGTTAAAAAAAAAAAAAAACAGGAACCAATCACCTATGGTATAGTTAATTAACAACCACTTGGTTTTGATTCACACGGACGGTTCTGAGAAGGAGCTGCGAGCAGAGATTGTGAAAGAAGCCCCAGGTTTCTTCACAAGACAGGGGTGCTGATGCTATCGGGGCTCCGGAAAGAGGCCCCCGTTAACCTCCCTTCATCGCCTGATCGAGTCAGAATCTCGGCGGGGCCTCACCAGGAGCCCAGTCTGCTCCGGGCAGTGTCCCGGCCCCAAGGTCCCGTGGAGCCAGCTCAGGAGGCTCAGGGTTTCTTCTCGAGGGCTGCCCTTGCCACCTACCGTGGGATGAGCCTGATTTTGTGACCTTGGGCTCGCGACCACATCAGCCACTGACCTGGTTTGGCTTCCCTATCTCTCAGAAGAGACGGTTGGGCTAAGAGATTTCTAAACTTCCCTTTTGCTCTAAAATCCCATGCAGGATTCGTTGCTCTTTGGGCCCGGACTGGACCCACCTTGACCGAGACACTTGTCACGTGGGTTCCTTTTTTGGGATGGTTGGGTAAGGCAGGGGTGACTCCCAGGGCCTGCCACAGGGGGCCCTCGGACTTCCCTTCTTTGTAAAGCCACAGCGAGGCTACAGAAGCAGACACAAACAAAATCTCTCCGCGGAGGAGCTACAGGGAGACCAGCCGCGTCCTCTGAGCAGAGCAGCCGGTGTAAAAGGGTGTGATCGGCTCCTGGCTGTGTGGCCCAAAGTGATAACAAGATTTCTAGGGGTGATCTGTATACCCACGTGCGAGTCACCATTGCCAAGCCGTGGAAGCCACCGAGTGGCCGTGCCGGTAGACAAGTGGATAAGCAAACTGTGGTCCGTCTTCTCTGGGGAATGTATCACAGCCTCAGGCCAGAAAGACAGCCTGATGTGTGCAAGCCGGTGGACGCGGGGGACGGTATCCTAAAGTGACATAAACCACCCGCAAAAAAGGCAAGCACTTTGGGACCCCCACAGAGGAGCTGCAAATTTTGTAAAAGCTGAAATAGATTCAAGGTGAGAGGAGAGAAAAAGTTTTGGGTTCGTGGAATTTCAGTTCTACCAGCTGAGACCGCGCTAGGGAGGGAGGTGACCGCAGTTGTACAACAGCGTCAATAGACTCGATTGTTGTGAACGGCAGCACACTTTAAAACACTCCGAATAAGCTGGGCCTGCACCTGTAGTCCCAGCTATTTGGGAGGCTGAGGCAGGAGAACTGCTTGAACCCAGGAGTTTAGGTGTGTGTATGGGGGGTGCAGCTCAGAGGCAGAGCGCTGGCCTAGCGTGTGTGAGGCTCCGGGTTCCATCCCCAGCAAACCAAAAACAGAAGAAAAAGCTAAAATGGTAGGTTTTATCACAAGAAGAACCCTTGAACGACTTCCTGTCTGTGTCAGTCTTAGAGACCAGAACAGCTTCCATTGGTCAGAATTCCTGGAAAGGAACAGATACAAAGCCTCTCTCCAGACAAAGGGGTAGAAATGTTCTGCTACATCTGTGGGCCTGGGTGAGGGTCCCAGGGAAGGGTCTCCTACGCTTAGGTTGTTCTTCCAGGGTGACCTGGGTTACCTGGACCCAGAACTTCTGATCGAACCCTGACCCACCTTGCCCTGCACTCTGGAAGCCCCAGGAGCTTTTGGCTGAATCCACCATCAAATGAGCACAGCTCTCTCATGCTGCCCAAGGACTCTCTGTGGGGAAGACAGCATACCGGCCCCCAAATGTGAGCTCTAGGAAGAGTTAGCAGAATGCCCCTGGTCCGCTTCCACTACACTTGGAAGACTGACTGGGCCACTCTCCCCGGCTTGGAAATCGCCGACCTGCTGCCTGCTGAGAAGCAGGCAGGTGGGTAGGTGCAGTTCAGAGGGCTTCTGCGAGCTCCTGAGGTGACAAGTGCAGACTCTCACCTCATCTGTACCCACAGATTTTCCAAAGCCGCCGACCTTTGCCCGCTGAGAACGTCCACAGGCTCATACCAACAGTGACCCCATAAGCTCCTCCTTCACAAACCCTATTGAGTGTCTGTCCCCCGGTGCCCATGGACTCAGCTATTTTCTCCAAAAACAGGCAAAGAAAGGACAATCCCAGGGGCAAGAGAGCCCAGACAGCAGGCCCCCAGCCCCCGTGCTTGTGTGTGTGGACATCCCGTCGCAGGGAGAGCCGGGGTGCGGGAGTGATGTCGAGCTCGTGGGGGGTACTTGTCTGCTCAGAACTGAGGTCGGCCGAGGTCTGATTCCAACACAGCACAGAGCATCTCAGACAACCCTGTCCTTACCACTTCTCCCAGGGACAAAGCTGTCCCCAGAAGGACATTCTCCAGCCCACTTCTTCCTCTAACTACAAAAGGAACGAGGCATCCCGCCCAAAGGCTCGCCCCCTTCGGACATGCAAATCTCCGGAGACAGGCACGGTGGGGGCCCTGCAGCTCTCACCTGGCGGCCCCGCGGAGCTCCTCCGGGGTCCCGTGGGAAGCTCCACGCCCTGTCCCGGGCGACTGCTCTCCTTCCCGTCAATTTCTCGACTGCACAGATAGATACTTCTCCTTTTCTCTCTGCCTCTATGGGTTTTTTTTTTCCCCTCTTCTGTTCCCCTCCCTGATTTTCAATCTGATTATTTGTGTCAAAATCTGGCGGCGACGCAGCAGCCAATGGCGAGGGTGCGTGGCCGGCCGCATTTGCTTATCAAAACTTTCCAGCGCTGCGGTCTGGTTCCTCGCAGTTCTAAGGCTGGGCTCGCAGATGGAGCTTTCCTCCGGCAACTTTAAGGAACATCTGGAAGACAGGAGAGGCAGGAAGGGCTGCAGTATCCCTTTTTCAAATTAAAGCGTTTGTTCCCAAGGTCTCACTTCGCAGGGAGAAAGCGTAACTTCTGCGAGTTTTCGTTCCTTTCTTTTCTCCTGCTTCCTTCCCCGCCATCCCTCCCTAAGTTTAACACTTTGCCCCCAGGGATGCGGGGACACCCTGGCTGGCGAGCTGCTGTGGCCCTGTTTAGCGACCGTGTCCCGTCTCTGAGTGACCGCGTCTGAGGCCCTTTCCAGATTGAGCGCGGGGTCCCCGGCCAGTGTGTGCCGCCACCTGGTGGCAGCTGAGGGAAGCAGGCGGCCCGTGGGGGCTCTGGGGCGCTGACCACCAGGGGAAAGCGAGCCGGTGGCCGGTGGTATTTCTTCCCATCTGGCTAGGAGCCCCGTCCCTTGATCCTCCACCTTGGCCTCCCTGCTCTGCCCCGGGCCCCCTCCTGCTTTGGGGATGAGTGATTTATTTCAGGAGGTTTTGCATACGCAGAGAAGCCCACAAGACAGCACTGTTAGCTTATTTGCATGCTCTGGGCGCCGGCGCTGGAGAGATTGCACTTCCCCGCACAGAGGGAGCCGGCCTGACGGCAGGAAGCCCCGATTTCAACTGCAAGTCCAAGGTTCGAGGTGCAGGGAAAGGGGTGTTTCTGGCAACGCCTGTCTGCGGCTGGCCCAGCCCTGGAGCCGCAGCTGGGGGCTGCGACAGACATCTGGGGTGACAGGTTGCTGGGGAGACCGGGGAGGCATCTTGAGTGGACCCCGCAGTGAACTTGGACTGATGCTCACCAGGCGGTGGAGTTCACAGGTAATAAGAAGGGTCGTTTTCCAAAGGCTCCCTAACCGGGCAAGTCCTCCCCTCTTCACTACAGACCCTTGGCCACGCCGGGCCGTGGGAAGCCAGCGTGGTCATTTTCTGCTGAAGCTTACTTTATTTAAGTACCTCCAAGGTTCCTTGCGGCCTTCACTGCTCTCTTTAACGTTTTTGCTTCCTCTAGATTTTCCGGATGCTTTCTCCTTCGGGGCTGCGTGTCTCTCTGGGATGCTCTCTGACAGAAAGCTGCCGTGTCGGGAGCCTCCAGTTCATGCAGCTCTAACACCACAATCACGCTGGGGGGTAGCTAGCTCCAGGGCCCCTCCCGGGCCGGGGTCCCGGCCTGCGGGTCAGGGCCAGCCTTACCTAGAGCCCCCGAGATCCACTCTCTTGGGGAGCAGTGGCCCCCAGGAACCTCTGCTCAGTGCCCCGCAGGTCCAAGCAGCCCCAGCAGAGCCAGAGCCAGGGCCACGGCCCTCCGGGGGCAGCCCCGGTGTCAGTGTCCTCCTCTAGTCCCCCAAGGTTCGTTCGTTCATTCCCGGGTGCCCTGCGTGCACCTGGCCTGCCCTCTTCCCTCCTCCTTCCTCATCTAATACGTGTTTAGCAAGCACCAGCAGGGGCCACATCCCGGGGCTGTGACTCCATCCATAACGAAATACCGCAGCCTAGGCAATTTATAGACGACAGAAGTTTCTCTCTCACAGTTCTGAGTCCAAGAGGAAGGAGTTGGTCCAAGTCTTGCTCTCTGCCTCGGAATCGTGTCTCTCGCTGCGCCCCCGTGTGGCAGAAGGGAACAGTGCCGTGCCCCATGCTGAGGAAGAGACAGGTAAACTAGCCTGCCTCCACCACGCGCTTTCGGAGGGTGCAGTTCATCCCCACAGCCTCTCCGCTTCCCAGAGTTGCCATCTCTCCATGCTGGGTCTTGGTTCCAACACAAATTCTGGAACCAGACAAGAACCAGGGGGAAGCCCTCATGGGCTCCTTCCCGGTCTAGGAAGAGGATGGGACCGCTTAAAATGAACGCTTTGGGGTGACAAGCTCAGCAGTGCAACATCGGGTGTGTACTGGGAGCCCGGGACTGGGGAAGGGGACCTGACTGGGTGTCCATGAGGGAAGGACGCCCACGCCGATGCCCGGGCTGAGTCAGTGGGGACAGATCAGGAGAATCCGCCATGGCTGAAAACCCTCCTTCATTCCCTCTCCCTGCACGACAAAAACCTCAGCTGCAGATAGCAGCGCTCCATGTTTTTCTTTCGTTCTTTTTTTTTTTTTTTTTTTTTTTTTTTTTTTTTTT